AAATCTCTATAGTTTGGACACAAGACTATTTCGAAGCAACCCGTCTTTCTCTTAGTGATTTCGAGACACCTTTCTGTTTCATGAATCAGTACTTATGTGCACTATAGGAATGTATTATTGATACTTTAAATTCGAGCGATCGACGATGTATAATCTTGTCTCAGTGACAAGAAAAGAAATCGTTTTTCTCCCTTTATTGCTTGACAAGTGCGAATCCGGTTGTTAACAAAGTACCCTTTTTGCAGCATCTTTGTAAATTTCTACACTTAAAACCAAGCTCATAAAGGACAACACACACGTCTAGCTACTTACCTGCCGAAAAATCAATATGTCTTTGTACGGTGATGTCGATTTGCTCAGAAGAGTCACCAATCTATAAAAGCCCTTTTTTATACTCTTTTTATGTCGACTTTTTCCCAATCAAATTTCTTTACGAGCTGTCGGTTCTTTCCTAGTATTCGCTTGCGCTTTTTATGAGTGGGGAAAAAATTATATTTTCTTTTTTTTATTATGCTTTAGATGTAACACTCGGAAGTGCTTACATGATGATATATGGAAAAATTAGGTATTTAAGTACTGAGTCACAACATAAATACAATCAGTTTTATCATCACCGACTATATCTTTGTATTGAGAATTAATTCAGCTGATATAGGGGTTAATAAGGTAAATACAGAAACAGCACAAGAACGAAGAAGAGAAAGGAAAAAAAGAAAAGAGAAAAACGAAAAAGAAATACGAGGGAGAACCCACCGAAAAAGACGTGAAGCAAAAGGAGAGCGAGGAGAGAAGAGAGAACAACAGCGAAAGAGGATATACGTATGCAGTTTGAGATTAGAAAAAAAAGAAAGAAAGAAAGAGAGAAAGATATAAATATATTACACAGGGCAGGCAAAAAGTAATGGCAATGGTACTTTAGTTTCTTATAAGAAGCTTTAAAAACCTTTCTTTCTATATAGTCTGACAGAGAAAAGAATGCTCTATTTTTCTATGCTATTTGATTATACTTCAACTAATCTAATGATAATAAATTTTCGGTAAGACTTGTTTCGTTACCATAGCTACTGGATGTAAGTTTGCATTGCAGTTTTCAGTTCCTTAATACATCGTATCAACAATCAAAATATACCATAAGATGTAGCGTGAAAAGCTCTACACTCTAAAAAAAAATCGGTTTTTTACCGAACCCCTGAAAAAGGTTCCGGAGATTTCTAAAAGCGTCCAAAAGTGTCCAAAGTCTCGAAAAGAGGATAAAAAAATCTACGACACCTTTATAGGTTCTTACCGTGTACCCAGGATAAGAACCTTTTCCTGCGAAACCTTTTTATAAGTTCCGTACAGCAGAAAAAGGTTTCGTAGGAAAATACGAAACCTTCAGAGTTTCATATTAAACCCTAATAGTTTCGTACTAAACCCTAATAGTTTCATACTAAACCCTCATGATTTTCTGGAGTTTAATACGAAACTCTAAAGGTTTCGTATTTTCTTACGAAACCTTTTTCTGCCGTACAGAACTTAAAAAAAGGTTTCGCAGGAAAACGTTCTTATCCTGGGTACACGGTAAGAACCTAAAAATGTTTTGTAGATTTTTTTATCCTCTTTCCGAGACTTTGGACACCTTTGGATGCTTTTAGAAATCTCCGGGACCTTTTTCAGGGGTTCGGTAAAAAACCGATTTTTTTTTTAGAGTGTACATTTTATATAAGACCAATTATTTTCTAGTTGCACTTTTTGTTTTCAAAATTGACAAGGTATTGGGCGATCAGATTTTGACTATGAAAAATAGATAATATTTTTGATATATGGCGAATTAATTTTTTTTATCTCATCTTTTTATCATCTGACATACGTTATCAAAAGAAAAACAAAATGCATCACAAGATGCAGCGTGAAAAGCTCTACAATCTTCACAGTAAAGCTCATTGTAACTGTCTTCATAAAAAGGAAAATTCTGTGATACCAGTTTTCGCAATGCTCAAAGTTCGGTCCCTCAAACCTTTGTGTATTTTGAAAACAAAACTGTGTAACTAGAAAATAATTGGTCTTATATAAAATGTAGAGCTTTTCACGCTACATCTTATGGTATATTTTGATTGTTAATACAATCTATTAAGAGACTGCAACTAATCTGTCTCTTCCGTTGTCATCCAGCAGACATGGTAACGAAAAGTCTTACTGAAAATTTATTATCATTAGATTAGTTGAAGTATAATCAAATAGCATAGAAAAATAGAGCATTCTTTTCTCTATCAGACTATATAGAAAGAAAGGTTTTTAAAGCTTCTTATAAGAAACTAAAGTACCATTGCCATTACTTTTTGACTGCCCTATGTACATGTGCTTTTCTTTGTTACCATTAGTTTATTTCAATAAATGATATCCGTTTTAAGAGAAGCGATTCATGCTTGTCTATTAATTTGTTTACTCGATTACTATGAAAAAACTTGCCAAGGTGATCCTTCTTTCTTTTATGAAAATCATTCCAAATAAAATTATCGTGATAAAAGAATGAACGGTCAAGGTCCGTTGTGTGAATACTTTTTAATCTCCTTTGAATGTAGTTTTTAACGTATAGTTCTAAAGAATCTTCCTAAGTCATAGTGTATAGATTATGCGCTGAGACAAAATGGCAGTGATGCACCAGTCGGAGACCAACACGGAGATTCTGTTGTAATAATTGTTGATGTGACATGGACATCAAAGGAAAGAAGGGAAATATCCATGCGAAATGCTGAAACGTACATGCGAAAAAACATTGTCTAAGTGCCTTAGTAGACATAAAACGTTTTGCACTCAACCACCTTAGTTTTTCCAAGGATTTCTGAATGTTTTCTACACATCTATCAATTGTTGGTTTCAAAGATGGTTTACTTGTTCAAGTGAATCCAAAGTACTTCAATTCGTTTACTAATTCGATTTTTTGTCCATTCATTTCTATGTTTACTCTTGGCTTTTTTATTTGTGTATAGAATAACTGCGCCACTGTTTTTGACACGTTTATAGGTTACTTCCATTTTTTTGAGTATGGAAATATTCTTTCACACACTCGAGTACCTTCTTGTTCTAGATATTTAATCATAGGCTCTAATTTTATTAAGATCAGGGATCTTATAATAACACGCAGATCATCGGCGAAAAGATGATCTGAATGTGCTCCTTAACATTGAACTAAATCAAAATGAAACACGATAAATAGGTAGGGACTCAAACTACTGCCTTGAGGTAGACCAATGTTTATATTAAAGGTTTCTGAAGACCTGTCTCCGAATATTACGAATCCTCTTCTATCTTTTAACCATGATATTATCATTTTCAACATGCTCGTTGGTAGACCTAATTTCCATAGCTTAGTCAAAAGACCTGCGTGCCATACACGATCATACGCCTTCTGATAATCCACATAAATGGCTAAAGTCGGTATGTTCCCTACCATACAGTTTTTTACTTCTTGATAAATTGACAAAACTCTTGTGGGTAGCAAACGTTGAGGAAGAAATTCCGATTGTTCTGCTGGCACTATATGATTTGTCTCCGCCCAGTATCTAACTCTATTAAGTATTAGTTTTTCGAAAAGTTTTGAGTGTGCTGCTAGTAAGGAAATTGGTCTTTTTTCATCGTATTTTGGAATATCTGTTTTTAATTTATTTATAGTTACTATTTTTGCTAATTTCCATACCTCTGGATATTTGCATTCGCTTAAACACTGGTTAAAACAGTTAACGAGGCATTCAATATAGCTCGGAGGAAGTCTTTTGATCATATAGTTCGAAACTTGATCGAAACCTGCTGACTTTTTTGGAAGGGAGCGCATGAATCGTCTAATCTCGTGCACCCTTGTTTTCTCTATTTGTTCCCTGGAAATTGATAATATCCTCGATATTTCATTGCATTCACTGTTAATTTTCACTTCATTTGCATCTGAATAATCGATCGAGGGTGTCTTAAACTATTCGCTATAATTTTTGTATAATTCTTCCATAATTTCGTCATGTTTAGATAGTACTTTATTACCCTTCAATAATCTATAAAATGGTAATGCGCGTGATTTATAAATTCTCGACATATAGGTGCAAAACATTTTATCCTTGTTATCTTGTGTCTGTTGAATTGTTACTAAAAAATCTTACCATTAAGCCGCTTTATACTTTCCTATCGCATTTTTTACTTCTCTTGACATGAGTCTTAGAAGTACTCTTGTTTCTTCACTTAAAATGTCTCCTTGACGTAGATGATAATATTTATTCTTTATTTTGCTTATTTTCTTTAGTTTCTCTATTATATGATGGGTGTGGGTGTGGGTGTACAGGCAAGGGTATGGGTCTGGGTATGGGTGTTGGTGTGAGTGTGAGTGTTGGTGTGGGTGTGTCGATGTGGCTGATTGAAGAAGAAGAATAACCTATAGCTACACCCACACCCACACCCACCCACGACTGTAGTGTTAACTAGTAGGCATGGTGACTTTCACCTTGATTCAAAGAACATTGTTGATAATGATCAAATACTTGATAGACATGTTATTTACTCATACTCTCTCTCTTTTTTTCGAATTTCTTCTCACACATATATATGTACAACGAGCAAGGTTTAAAGAAATGAGGACAACTTGTACTCTTTGATATAAAATCATAATGCTCGAGAGTTACATCGATCCACATGTATGTCAAGGCTAATTCTAGTAAGGTTACCAAACGAAACATTTATTTGAGGAAACAACTTGATTTTTGTCTTCATAATCCTTTGGATATATTTTAATAAGGAAAAGTAAAACGTGTTTACACATCCTGCCCTGAAGTGTTTCCAAATGATTAGCTTCTTCTCACATTAGAAAATATATCGTAAGTTATACACAGTAATAAAATCCTCATTTATCATGATATGATCTGGTTAGTGTAAGGCTTCTGTTCTTTTTTATATTTACAGATCGAGTTCCCAGAATGGCACCACATACGGGATATTCGTGTGTCGGCTGTGGTTGCAATCCTATTAAAGATTTTCGATATGTATGTTTGGAATGCGATGATGTCAATCTTTGTTATAAATGCTTCGCATCGAAGAAACATGGTAACAAATCAGAGCATTCAACCTATCACTCCGTTGCTTTGCGACATGCGGATGGAGATATTGGTTTGTATTTGACCTAGTATTGCATAACTGATTACAAAAAGATGATTTCAGGTTATAGATCTTATCAAACAGTACAGTGCGATGGATGTGACAGTAAACACTATACTGGTTATCGATATCGATGTTTACAATGTCGGTTCTTTGATCTTTGCGAGAATTGTTATGCAATGAACAAATTTGGAGAAAATAAAGGAAACCATCGGGTGTCTCATCGAATGCAACGAATCCTAACAGAGCTTGATCGACGTGAGTTGCTGTTGTAGCTTGAAAGATGTGCGTTTACTAACGTACAGTACATTCGCATTTTCAGAAGCCATTCCTTGTCATAAAGGAATTTATTGTAATGGATGTCGGACACAACATATTGTGGGAAAACGTTACAAATGTAACGTATGCAAGGATTATGATCTTTGCGAATGTTGTTATCTGGCAAAAAATTATCAATGTTATGATCATGATTCATCTGGTCCAAAACATTCGTCGTCTCACGCAATGACTATCACAGAACCAACGAGTCTGTTTTTTAGCGTATGAATTCGCAACATATATTGAGTTTGAATCTTGTCGTTTAGGCCGTAGCCCAAATGATTTTCGAACTTGGAAAGCGATATCGATCAAGATACAAAACCAATTGGGACGTGATTTAGGTTCTCGTCAGTGGGATAAACACGACTCCAATGTACAAGTAAGTGTTTCGCTTCTGATTGGAGAAAGTTACTTTGTCACAAAATAACCTTACCGTGGCAGGAAGAATGGACGAATCTCGGTCGCAAAATTGGATTTGCGTTGTATAACGCTCCGACAATCGACCCGTCAACATCTAGTTCATGTATATTTGGCTATGAGAGTGAAAAGGAAGAAAAAATCAAACAACTACGAAAGAAGGCTTTAGATTTAAGTGATAGCCACCAACAATCAAACATGATTTTGATTAACTTTATTTTTGTGAGCTTTTGGACCATTAAAAATGAAAATATGGTAAGTGACTTCTCTTGTCTAGCTTTACTTTGTATGTAGTGAAGTGGATATCAAAATTTGTAGTTACCCTTGATTCGCGTTTTGAAATATAACAAAAACAATGTAGATCATGCATATTTTGTTGAGCCAAACGGACGAACTTATGATGGATGGCCAGACTTCATCAACAACAATCAGTTACCAGAGTGCGATATATGCTATCCGAAAGGTAAGTTAGAAATCATCTTTATACTATTTCAGATATCAATTTCTTCTTCAGACGGATGGTACACCTTTGATGAGGACGGTGTTTGTAACTTGTGCTTTGGCAAGTCGGCCGAATGTGATGCATTACGACAATTTGTTAAAGTAATCTAAATCAATTATGCTACTTATACTTATGCGGGTTATCTATATTAAAGGGCACGGACATAGGTGCAACCACTATCAGTGTCGTTGGTACTGTACTTGGCATTGTCGGTTTATTCACGCCACTCGCTCCTGTTGCTGCTGCGACACTAATAGCTACAAGTCAGTTTTCAAGTGTTATTTTTCTGTAGAATAACTTTTTATCGATAGCGTATTTCGGCAACTTTTTTAGCTGTCGCAGCGGGAACCTACGGTGCTAAACGCAGTACAAATGCACTTGTTGATCGTACTACACATGGTCAATCTATCAATCCTTTTACTAATAAAGATTCATTTTTCTGTTGGCTTGGTCTTGTTGGTGCCATTGTTTCTCTTGGTGCGACAACGGCAACAAGTGTAGGTTTTATGATTCTCTTGATCTTGGGTACATGTACTCTTAAAGATTTACTGATGATTGAGTCATAAATCATGTAGTATTGAAAGAAACTAGTATTTCTTCTAATGTTGCTAGTAAATTCAAGGTAATAGGTAGTAACTGATCGCTATCCATTATCCACAAGTATATGATGTTGCCGAGTGGTAAACAAGTATGATTGTTTGAAAATATTTTGATAAAGCGATTATGGTCAAAATATGATACTTTGACACTTCAACTTTGATTGTCTCAAAGTTAAAGTGAAAAATAAATTTCAATTTTTGACGTTTGATCCCATTTAAGTTTCACAGTCACTGTGTAATAATAATTACTAAACTAACATTGAAGAATTCATAGTAGAAAACAACCTTTTCACACCCATGAGTTTTGACTATCGTTTAGCGGTCAGAACAGATAACTTCTGAGGATTGTAGTTCTTAAATGGAAAGTGAAAGGACCGAATCGGACAAAAATATTTAAAACTTTAAAGAAGGTTTAATTTTAACTTTACCTCTTACAGTGAAGCTAAAACATCATTCCTAATTAGTACTTGATGAGCTTTTCTTAACTAGGAGTACTCGAATGTAGACACAAATATTTTTAAACACTTCCAATCATTCAGTAGACCCGTAAGCAGACTAGTTGGATTCAATATTTTTTTAATTTTAGGTTGTGTCATCAATGGCAGCACGTGGAACACATGTTGGTCAATTTGCACGTATTGCAGCAACAACTGCTATTTTTGGCAGTGTAGGAGTCAATAGCGTAAGCATAATAGCCGGTTTTGGTAACTTGATTGACAAGGCAGTTAAGGTCTTAATTTTTTTTCTGTTCGTTATAAATCAAAATGAAAGAAAAAATATGGATATTATTTTAGGGCGAAGAAATAAGTCCGCTGGAAATCTTTCAATTAAGTGCAAGCATCTTGTTTCTAACTAATCAAGTGGTAAATATCAAAACTGCAAGTCAAATTATTAAAAATGTACGTGCATCTATTTCCATCGTCTTCGGAAATGACATGATTAGTTATAGGTACAACAACAACGTTACGATCAAATGCGTCCGTTTTTAAATGCAGATCAGCAGAAAGCTTTCAATCAATTGATTGAACAGAATCGTGCTGAAGCCGTGGCGTCAGGAAATGCAAGAACAGGTCAGGATTTAATGTTCCAGTATCCTTGAAAACTAATCATAGACTACTTGAACTCATTAGGTGAAATGCATGGTGGTGAAAAAACTATTCGTACAATCAATAGAGCCTTCACCGAAAACAATCTAAATCCATTGATCGAGAAGTGTAAGTATGGGTGTTGATGATATGTATGAGTATGACATTCTGTATTGGGCTAAAAAACATATTTATATCCACACATCAAATTACAACTATGTAATTGATCCCAATGGTTTCGTTTATTATATAGCTGCTGCTGCATGTGAAATAAAAGCATGGCAGTTGTATAATGCTGCAGAAGATAATCTGGCAGCTAATCCAAATATGCCTGATGGACAATATTTGAAAGAAGTGAATCAAGGAAGAGATATGATGAGGATAGCATCTGATGTTAGAGGTGCGTAAATGAGAATGATAGTGAATTTGTGAAAGATAGATTTATATTAATTCGTCATCTCTGCCTAGGTGAACATATGACTTCAGCAGACACTTTGAAACAACAAACAGCTGTAAAAGCTCAAAATTCATTGAATCAGAAAACGCCATTACAAACTTTAAGTGCAGTGAAACAAAGTGCGCCTGGACAAACTCCAAGTTCATTAAATCAAATTTCAGCCACAGTCAGTCAAGGACTGAGAGCTCAAGAGGACCAAAACATTTACAATTCAGGTAAATAGTTCGTTCTTGTTTCGAATGTGACTACAGAATACAAACTTAAGAAATATTTTAGTTAAGTTTCGTAGTGATCAACAACAAAAGAAGAAACAAAAAATTAGAGAACAACACGATTCAAACCCAGACGAAAGTGACGATGAAGATTGTATCTGTCGAAGTGTTACCATAAAGGTTTTATATGTTAATATGTGTAGCGTGAAGCCGAATAAAACACATCGAGCGATACCTAATAAAATCCAACGATTAAGAAATCTTATATTAATGCATCAACCTCACATCATTGCTATTGTTGAATCATGGCTGAACACTGACGATGATAATGAACAGATACTTTCCTACTTGAACTTAGCTGAATATAGAGTTTTTCGACAAGATCGAGGAGATGGTCATCATCCAGGTAATGCTTATGGCCATACAACGACTGGTCTAGAAGACCGACGTGGTGGTGGTATCTTAGTACTCTGGAAAAAGCCCGATGATTTCAATGTAGATTTCAACAGACAACCAGCTGAAGACTATGCGGATAATGCTGTAAATTTTGATCTTGATTATAAATTTCAATGTGCATATTGTTCTAATGGACAGCCAGTAAAGAAATATGGATTTACTGTAGCTTACAGACGACCAGGACCATTTGCGGATCAAGGCAAGTAACAGTGAACGTCTTAACTAGTTTCTGTTCAACTATAATCCTTTTAGCCCAAGCTGATTTCGATGACATGGATGACGAAGTTGTTAAGCAATTTATACATTTAACTAGTGCCTATAATGATTGTTTGAACGGATATTCTGAATGGGCGATTGTTGGAGACTTTAACTGGAAAATTGACAGAAGAAGAGATAGACGGAATATTGCGATGTTACTATCAGCCACAGGGGTGGATGTTGAATGGTTAAAATTGTCATCTGATCTGACTCATCGTAGTGGTGCTGCTCTTGATCAGGTGTGTGATTCGCATTTTCTTTTCTTCGATTTTTGAAGCAAATGATCATGTTTATGTCTTAGGTGTTCGGCAGTCCTGGTTTCGTTGTGAACGTAAACGACGTAAACGACCGACATATATCCTTAGTTGACGTAACAGACCTTGTTAGTGATCATGCAGCGCTTGTTTTCAGCTTGAAACTTGGTAAAGATTATCGTGAAAATGAAGAATGCTCTGCAAGAGAATGCAGCGAATGACTCATGTAAATTTGAGTGTTGTCACGATTGGCTAGTCTGAAATACTACATTTTCAGAATAAGAAAATTGCTTTGTCCATTCATACTTTGCTTCTATTTACTTCTAATATATCTCTAATAATAAAAACGAAATTCAATTGAACAGAATGACGTCTTTCTAGAACAACTATCCACGAACATGGCTTATGTCCAACAAGAACATTAAACAGTAAAACCGATTAATCAAGTGAAGGAATGTAGCGTGTTTTTGAATATTGAATGACTCCATTTAATTTGTCAGAATCATTTTACGTCTTAGTAATGGTTTCAGAAGTAAATTATCTTTCGAGTATCTAATTTAATTGCGTGAATTTGCGAGAAAGTTGTTACGACATCAATTCAGTGATGTTTGATATTTAATTATAATGAATTAATATTCATATTATGTAGCAGATGGTAACAAGCATCGATTGAAGTATTTCTATTTTCAGAATCATTGACTCTTCTCTTTTACAGCTTACTAATATAATTATAAGAATGGGGAGGGTGTGAGGGGTAAGGATGATTGAGCTGCCAATATGTAGATTTCATCCCTGCTAAATGGATCATCAATTGGCTTTAATTACAAAACATGCCAAATAGATTCTGTAAGATTCTGAAATAGAAAGTTTCGAACCAACACTACGTATATCTCTGCAAACCTCGAAGAGAACTATCTCGCAAATGATAGGAAATACAGCGTCGAAAATGGCCATCCATTGCTTTTTCATTATTCTAATACGAGGATATTTAGTATTTTCATTAGTTTCGAAGAAGTTGTCAATGAAGCTTGGTTTTTCCCTCAATATGCATACAAATCTGTTTACAAATTCACTGGTCATTCTCAGATCGCATTATTAGTAGTCTAATTTTTCGGATAAGTATTAGATGCTATCACAAATATATTCTTTTTTTCAGTAAGAGCTCATACAACTTCTTTTTTCAAATGGATTAATCCTATTGAAAAGTCGTACCTGATATGATTGTCAGGGTGTGAGTGTCGTGTAGGTGTGTTTATCTTCTTCTGCACTCGTCCACACCTACACCTAGCCACACACACCCAGCCCCAGCCCCAGCCCCACACCAACACTCACACCCCACCCCACACACCCACACCCATAAATACAAAAATATAGGATAAACAGAGAGCGACTATGATATTCTCGACCATGGTGTTGAAAAGAACAAACGAGTTACAGATACAGTGAGGGCCCAAAAAAGCAAGCACTTTTTTATTTTTACACATGAACGAATAATAAGGATGTTCTAAACATTTTCTCTTATATCTAATTTTGTAGAGCTTTTTTCGCTGATCATTTTGGTAAAAAAAACTTTTTGATTTTCATTGAGTAATGACAATGTTATAGTCAAAATACTAAACACTGTAGCATAAAGTAGGGAAAAAGTTTAGCACACTTTTAGTATTTGGCTAGTTTTTACGTTATTTCACAACATCTGAAAGATGTTTTCTAAACCATTCGATGCAGAATTTAATGGGCTACATATTGATAACAAGCACTTATACTTATATTGCAGTTAATTAATTAATTAATAGTTAATTAATAACAAGTAACGCTCGTCCGTGTGACTCGCTTGGCCCTCGACTGTAAATTAGGCCCTTTGATATTTTAGAGCGCTTTACAAACTTCAACACAACTAGTATCCAATATTTATTGAATGAATGCCAGCAGGGGTGTGTGGGTGTGGGTGTGGGT